ACGATTCCAAAATACCCGACAGAAAACTGTAACCATGATATTACGATAATTGGTGTAAATCGGCCTTTCTTTTTAAGTGATTGCAATGTCCCAATCATCATCAGGTTGTTCTCAAGAAGTACAGACAAAATCTTGAGCGCAACCTTTCGTTTTTCGTATACAAACTCCTTCAAAAATTTCCTAATGAGTACGGACTACTTTAACATTCCGAAATATTGACAGGTGCGTTGCGAATTCCCTTCGTTGTGATGTGACTGCAAGTCTGTAAGCATCTTGCAATTATGATCTATTTGTTCTGAGTGATGAACAGTCACATTACACTCTTGGATAATGCATTCTCTTTTTCATTTGTGAAGTTACGAACCTTTGGTTCATCCAAATCGTCATTCGCGGCTTTAATTATATTATCTTAATACGACGACCTTGCTTTTTTCAAATCGTCGTTATCATCAACTTCAATTCCGATATTTTTACACGATTGTTTTGATGTACTTGCTTCACTCGTCTGCAACTTTAGGTAGATAAAAAGATAAAAAAAATAAAAAGACGTCAGTATACATCTGAACGCACTTACCAAAAGTCAAAAGTATGGGGAGACTGGGCATGGCTCCGCAAGACACCATGTCGTCAACAGCACTACGGATAATAGAGATGGTAACTGATGGTGATTATAACATGATTTGGCTCGTCCTCGGACGAATGGTATACGCAACAACAAAATTTTGGATGCACTCCATCTCAATCCAAGTGTCTGACTGCCGGAAAATCGTTAACACTTGGGTTCTGCCTCGTAATCACTAACAAAGTGCTACTCCTCAGACAAAATTCATAGAATCTATAGAAGGAAGTTCCCAGAGGCCGCTTTCCGTCTGGGTACCTGACTGGAAGCTTTCGCAAACTGTAATCACGTGGTTCTGCACAAAGAGCAGAGAATTAAAAGAAAACTTAGCAGATACTTGTTTAGAATTACAAGCTCGCCGAGATGGAAACAAAATAATTATTTATTTGGATGCCACTTGTGCCATAGATGAACCACAAGAAGCAACTTATCTAAACTTACTTGAAATTCCTGCTGATACCAAAGACATTAAATACTTTGATTACTTTATTGGCTGAAATGATAGAAATATCATGAGAGATACTGGTGAACCTACACGAGATATATGAGAACAAAGAAGTAGTCGTTGTGGGGGTTGATATTTCCCTAAACCCAAGGAGGAACTAAACAAAATTTTCATTGACAAATTTAGTTTTGAAAAAGGAGAAAAAGAAGATCAACAATTAATAATTAATTGTCAAAACTGCTCTTGACAATACATTTACAATCTACCTCCTAAACCAAATTGAGAAAATGCTGGTAAATATATGAGAATAGAAGAAATAAATAATACTAAACAAGCTCTTAATAATCATTTACTTCTTTACCACAAACCAAAGAATGGCACTAAACTTATTCAGTTTATTCCTAAAGGATTGTAGCTTCAGATATCTGTTGTCATTCTTGTTATAAACCAAAGAGAGCGCATCTATATCTTTTTATTAAAGCTTGGTGACATTCTTCGACAGTTGCATCTAGATATGTTTTGTAATAAAATTTTCATAAATCGAAATTTTCTCCAATAAGTGTACCTACTTAACCAATATTCCGAAAATGAGACAAATATAAACATTTACTATGGCAATATTAGTTGTATGAAAGGATATTATCGACTTATCAGGACTTGAGAGCTTTTCATTTTTTTTTTTTTAAAAGTTCATCCATTGTGTAATTGTGAAAAAAGAAATGAGAAAAAAAAAGTTAAAGGATTTAGTTTGAGTCAGTCAA